TTTTAGTTTAGGATTTGTTTCGTTGCATGGTATGTGGTAGATAGATAATGGTGTCATTTGCAGTGTTCCTTTGGAAAGTTCAATGTTTTGAGTTGTAGTAGAGAGGTAATACCGACCTCCAAGATGATGTAAGGTATCAGAGTCACCACAAGTGGTGTAGATATGATTACGGTCATAGTTCAGTTTAGTATCTGCTACCCATGGAAGACCAATCCAAGACGTGTCGTTGGCATCTCGTAGTACAGAATGGGGGCAAATATGGGCATTAGGTTGAGAGAAACATGCAGTTAACACATCAGCTTTTAAAACAAATTGCTTATGCTTACACGAAACTAGAACCAAATCTTGTCTAGCTAATGGACCAGTAAAACACTTATCCCTAATTTGATATTTCAGTGGTACAAGTGTCTCAACGGTACACAATGAATTTTCACTAACCATTCGAGGAACAGTGACYAAGGTAGTCMAAACGATTCKCTTTGGAGAATGAGAAYATTCYGTAATTGGATTCATTAACAAAGGAAAACCCGCGTCTAAGGCTTGTGCCGTTAAAGACATACCTGGTAACTTTTTRAAGTGGTGTGAAACAGCAGAAATTACTGATTGTGGCAAATCGTTGAAACTGATAAGTGCACGGTTCCTCAAATGTGCAAACTGAGTGACTATATCCTGAACTTCGATTAGACGAAGAAGCAACTGAGTGATTCTATTAATTTGAAAGGAAAATTTTGAAAGGAAATCCATATTGGCATTTTGATAACAATTTGTGTCTCGCATAAATTTAGAGATTTGAACGCTCCATTCGGCTAACGTATAGTCAATGTCTTTGATGTTTTGTGTCAAAGAGTTAACTTTAGTTGTAAGTTGGTCAGTCATTCGCATCATGTGGACAGTCTTACCGAAAACGGTCCGAATTAAAGCGGCGTCGGCGTTTATGGCTGAAGCCATATCTCGAAGAACAGTTTTTAAGCCGGCGATGTGATTGGACTGGCAAGAACCACCGGTAGCGGTGTAAATAGCGCGCGGAATGCCAAAGAGTCCCATGTGACAGGCTACGTTGCTACGCCGAGACCGTGTTGTGCGCTGGAGCCAAAGTTTTTCATTGACTGATAGGTGGACACATGCACGAAGGGCGTACCGTTTACATTCAGACAGACTTGTTCGGAAAAATCGAGGACACCGCATTTTGGCGGGRAGCCGCGMATAAAACTTATAAGAACGTTTCAAATAGGAAGAACACTCTATCAAGTTGGTAAACCCCGGAAGAGAAAGTAATCGTCTAATGTTAACGGTTGTATCAGCCAAGGATCTTAATAATTTTATCATGAAATTTTGTTGTTGTTTCGAGCACTGATATTGAATAGTAGGCGAAGATCCTGGCAACTCAACAATTAAGTCTAAATTTAAATGAAGAAGCTGAGTGTCCGAAAAGAAAAAGATCGGCTTCGGAATAGTGGCGAGCATTAACGACGAAGGATAGTACGTTACCACATTGCCAGTGTTGTCGAAATTATTGGACCAAGAAAGCGTAATAAGAACCATCAGGAAGATGGTGACCAATGAGGGGCGTACCATGGTGTACTGTCAAGAAAAGAGAAAAAGGCTTGTGAGATAAGCCTCAATAAAACCGAATGGGGACACATTAGGTTTCTTAAGATAAGACTAGGATGCGTAACCTAAGGATAAGAGAACAAAATGCACAGTATCCCTAGAAAATGTGCATTAGGATGAAACATAGGCGAAAGTTGATTGAATGATTTTTTTTTT